CACCAGAGGGATCACACTGGTTTAAGGCAGGTGAATGAAATGGAGTAGGTGAAACTATCCCATGGAGTCTGTAGAGCTGTGGAGCCACTAATATCCGCTGTGCAGTGTCTCTTGTTAATATGAGGTTTGGCTTTAGCTTCCCACTGACAGTGTACACTTAGCCATCCCTCTCATCCTCGCTTTTGAGACATGAACATCCCACTCTGTTTATTGTCTTTTGAAGTTCTCCTTTGATCCAGAAAAAGAGTGAATCAAAGTAATAGGGTGCAGACAGTAACTGAGGTTTATTGCATAACTGCTGTCTGAAGGTGTGTAGCAGAAATGAATGAGTGCTAGTGAGTCACATTGGGTGAGCCCAAGACTCTTGCATTTCATTTTAATTCCTCTCCTCCTGCAGTAAAGCTTGTAACTTGCGTTCATGGAGACGTACCACAATCTCTCACTTGTTCCATGTCCTTACTCTATATGACAAACGTCATCAGTAAGCCAGATGTGCCATCCTGCAGCCAGCTGCATGTGATGGTTGAGGTCATGGACAGGGACAGAAGCAGTGGCATGAGACTGTCTGACAGCCCAGCTTCACTGCCCTTTCCTGGCTAGCACAGCTTCGGCACATGTCAGTCACTGGACAAATGTGACAACATATGTCACTTGTTCAAAGTTTTCTAGAGATTGACTTGTGTGCACTGTAATAAATAAACTGGTACTGACCACCTACAAGAAATATTTAACTGCTTGGAGGGGGAAAATCTTCAGGAATCATGCATTAAGCATCCTGTTGACTTGAGCCCAAACAGATGTCTCGATTGCACCTGTGTGGGTAAAGGTGCAACTGTTATGTGTCCCAGCTGGGATTCTTAATATGGTAATTACACTATTATGTGTGGGGACTATTCACAGAAAAGGGCCTTGTTGTGAGAGCCTCCACTATATCTACAGGGTAGCAGATGAGCTCTGGCCTGAAGAGCTTGCCCTGGACTTGAGCAAGACAGGATAAAGGTGTAACAAGGGAAGTTAGCCTTAAACCTTCTCATGAGACTCTTGGATTTTTCTCAGCTGCTTTTTCTGTGTGCTGCTACTGATTCAGTTTCCCCATTCAGCTGCTCACATTTAGCACTCTTTCTCCAGCAGCCAGGTGGAAGCTGTTTAGTGCAAGCCTTCACTGATGTGTTGTGTAGGTTTGGAGGAGGGGGAGATGAGGGGAGCTCTAGTCTGGCTTACTTAAACTCCCAAGAATGTCCTAATCTTGTAAAGAATATGAGTCTCCTGTGTGCAGGCCTCTGGAAAGTTTATAGATAAACTGAGACCCATAGAGGTGCCTCTGTGCCAAAGGTGAGCTGTTTGCGTGTGGCTCTATTTATTGTCCCTAAGTAGGAGGAAAATAGCCAACTTTTAATTAATGGGGAAACTGCTACATGTATGTTTATTTTGGCTTGGCTACAAAGCTGTTTAAATTTCATTTAGCTAAATAAATATTTCTCTGTATGTCAAATTTAAGCCTATTTAAACCCAACTTATTGGTTTAGCTGTAACCAATACAACTTGCTTAAAATCCACGTGAAAATACCCACACAGGGATTTGTGCTGGCTTGATAATTCAATATTAGTTAAACTGCTGGAGCTTGTAGGTGTGGACCTCCCCTTAGTAGCCTCCAGCAGTAAAAGTGATGTCTTTTGGTTTTCCTAATGACGGTAGCCAACATTTAAAACTTGACTGTATGCTGCCCACTCTGTTCACACCATTTGGTGCTTTTGCATAAGACCACAAGTTTACTGGCAGGGTATCCTGTTTCTTTTAAAAACTAACTTGTTACACCTGACCACATCTGTTTCAGGACCTCACCGCCTACACACTTGTTTTAAATACATCTATCAAGACAGTCCACAATAGCGCTATCTCAAGAATTCCAAAATGTTGAACACAAAACACAATTACACTGCATGAGAGTGCTAAGGAAAGCCATCTGCTCAAAGTAACTGTGTGAATGTGGTGGTCAGGGTGACAGCAAAACTTGGAAGACACTCTGCATCTCATGGTTCAGTCCATCAGGGACTTCTAACCCCTGGGCACATCACTGCAGATGGTTCTGCCTTCCCCCTAAGTAGGAAGTGCACATATCCAGCTGCACCTTTGGTGATCAATGTTTTCATAGTAACCAGTTATTTCATAGTTTTTCATTCATGTATTATATACATCCATTTATTATATACATCTATTATACATTTTTATATATACATATTATTGCACATAGTCATTATATACATATATTATTACATATATGATTTTTTTTGTGCTTCTCATGTACTGAGCCATTTACTATCAAAGTATAATTTATTTAATTTATGTAGAAAAAAATTTATGGTTTTATTTTACTCATCTATCTCTGGAGGTGTTGGTGGTGTTGGGTACCATTGTGGCATGAGACATACAAGACATTTATTGCTCTAGCAGAAGAGCAGTGCTTAATCACACAAATAATAATGTAATGGTTATGGTTGTTGGGATCTGCGGTCAAGACAGTGATAGCAGGTTTTGGTTCAGCTGTGGATATGTGGCTTAGCCCCAGTCAACCAGTTCTTCCTCCAGTGGAAATGTTTTATTCTTCTTTTAGAAACATTATAAGAATAAAAGCCCTTTAGTGGCCAGATAGGCTGTTTTGGAGTATGGTACTGACTCTAGGTATCTACTGGTTAAGTAGTTGTCATGTAATTAAAAAACATCCTGCAATTTTAAAGGATCTGCTCCTGAAAAAAAAACAACCCAACTAAGTCAGATGAGGTTGGAAGACCTAGATAGCTGGCTCTGTGAAAAATCAAGCCAGTAACTTAGAGAAGGATTTGGGGATCGTTAAAAAGGACAAACATGCCCAAAGTGGGATTCTAGCAAAAGTTAGGTGCCAAAGTACAAAGTTGTGATCTTGAAAAACACTGCTCAGCTGCTGGCTAACTCTCAAAGCAAGTAAACCAAGCAAATGCTCTACTTTGTTTTTATCCTTTTAAATACATAAACAGTCTTGAGAAGAAAGACTGAACCCAGAGTGACCCTTGCTCACGTGTGGCCAGACCAGCAGTTAGAGAGGCACATGTCATCCGATATTCTCTCTCTGGTCCACTTCAGACAACTTCAGTTTTTGTGCAATGGGGCAGCTCTAGCAGGAAGGGATGAGGCTGCCCAGCCTAGCCCCAGACCTAACTGTTAAGATGCCTTCTGCTACAGTGCCAAGCATGGGTTCAAAGCCAAGAACTGCTTTGAACCTACCTTTCCCTGTTTCTTAGGTGAGTGCTCTGGCTGCTTACTGTTGTGTGAAAGAAGTCGTTTTCCCTCAGTTTGTTAGGAGCTCTGCTTGATTCCTGGAAAAACAGATGTAGGTTCTTTCAAGAGGGCATTCTGCACCACCAAACTCGAAGAGAGGGAAGTACTTTCTTCCAGCTAGGCAAGACTGATGCTTGCACCTCACTGCTCATGTTTCTTGTTGACTGATCTGGGCTGGTTTGCCTCGGCACCTGAGAGCTGATCTAGGCATGGTCAGTTCAGTAGTGTGGACCTAGCCTGAATGAGCAGCATTTTCTCCTCTTTCTGGAAAGTGTGAATTGTGTCAGGATACATCAGCCCTGCCTTTTGCTGAGGAAGGAGCTTGCCTGCCCATGCTATGGGTGTGAGCTGGCTGGCTGAGGTGACACCAGCAGGGCCAGCACAGATGCCACTGCCAGGTGTCACTTGGATGGCTGGTGACTATGTCATCTGCAGGGCTGCAGGCTCACAGGGACCTCGCTCAGTGCACTCTGTGCTTGTAACAGGGGCATCTGGGAGAGGGCCAGGGTGGGTTAATAGAAAGAGTGAAGTATGCCCGTCCTATCAGGACTGAATTTGCAGTACAAGCTGTGACATGGTAGGTTTGGAACACATTATATTTGTGGGTGAATTAAGGCAGGTATATGGTTCCTTAGTGTTTTGCATGACCAACATTAAAAAGTTATGTATGTGCAACAACTGCTAAAAGGAAACTTCTCAAATTCCTTCATTGTTTTTCTTCAAAGACTGTTCTAACTCTACTCCTGGCTTTTTTTTTTCCCCTAGAAAAGTTGCTGGATGTGCTGCTTTGTTGTTTGTCACATTTCAAATATTTGCTAGAGGTCAGGCAGTAATGGAGCTTAGTCACAGGTAGACAATAAAATACTGATTTCTTCTCTTCTTTAAATATAATCTGAAAAATTATTTCTCAAAACTTGTAAAATAATATTTTGTGCATCTTTCAGGTAAATGGATATTTGATAATTAAATGCATAGTAGATGTGTGGTACAATTTAGAAGTGTCTGTGTGTGTGTATGTGTGTGTGTGTGTTCAGCTTTCTGTGAGCTTTCTAGATACTATGGGAAGATTTATTTTTAAAAGCTGTAGAGATTGATCTTAACGTTCTTTGAAAAATCACCTCCTAGTTTAATGTTTGCTTCATTAAACATTTTGTGCTGTTTGTGCCGATTAAGACCATTAGTATTTCTATGAACTGGTAACCTTAGGGGAAAAAATGGTTATGTTTAAAAACATAAAAGCAGGTTATTAACAAAAAGTGACTTATTGAGTGTAAATAAAATGATCTGAACAAAATGTGTGTCATTGTATATCCATGCCCTCATTTACCATCTGCTTTCTGTTTTATGACCCTAGCTATGGATTTATTTTGTGCTAGTGGACAAACAATAGGACAACACTTAAAAACACAAGCTGAAATGCAAGGAAAGCTTATGGCAGTCTTTCTCGTGCTTGGTATCATGTGGGGAAAAAAGAGTGTGTAGAAAAGAAGAGTTGAATTGTAAACATTGCATCTTGATAAGTCTTCCATGTAGTCATAAAACTATGATTTCTTTTACTTTCTTCAGATTTTCCTTGAAGTCCAGCTAAGAATGCAACCAACAATAAAGTGAAAAGGCTGTGCAGCTGAAGAAGCATCCTTCTGCTTGGTGAAAATGTCTCTTATTTTTTGACAACGATTAAAGGACAATGGGGTCAAACACACTTGGGAAGGCCGCCACATTAGATGAGCTTTTAAATGCTTGTATTGAAATGTTTGGTATGCTTTTTCAGTAATTTACTTTGCTGTTCTTGAAATTTATCTTATATTATAACCCCTGTTGTTTTCTGATTTAGCCAGTCTTTCCCTTGGCAAACAACATTTCTGTTCTGTAAAATTTTCCATATTTCATTTTGGCACAGAATCACACAGGCCAGAATTTTGATCATATGCACACCATATTAAATTTTCTTAGTACAGATAATGAACTATGGTGAGTATAGCGGTTTTAAAAATGCTGGCCTACACCAAGAGGAGTGTTTAGTTGAATTATTCAAGGAGTTATTTCTGACATTGATCTTGGTCTTGAGTGGTTACACAGCTGCCTTTCTGGCCAATTGTTTTTTTGAAAGATATTCTGAATCATTATGCAATAATTGGCAAGAATATGTAATCTTTTTACTCTTACTAAAATGTGATGTACCAGGTCTGAGGGAAAGAAGTGATGAAGTAGACCTTGATCCATAACACCATTAATCATGACAAGTGTCACATTGCGGTCAGATGAGTTCATGGATAGGCCTAAATGCTTTGAAATGGAGCCTTAATTCATAAAGCTACATTTAGATTCTCTTGAAATGCAGGACAGCTTTTGATTGGAATGAAGTATTAATTTTTTTCCCTTGTGGAGAGAAACAAGTGTCTAATGGTGAAAGAGATTAAATAATTAAAGGGGTAGATGGATCTTACTACTCACTGTAGTGGATCCCCTTATATCCATTTCTGTAGAACACCATCAAACCTGTTGTTCTAAAACCTAATTACAGTATTAGCAGTGTCCATATATTTGTTATCTGTTAGAAATCATGCCTCTCTTCCTTGTATACACACTCTCTTGACAAATGTAGTCCAGGTGTGGTTCCTGTTTCATGCATGCATATTGTCTACTGTCTTTAAAAAAGTGTCAGACAGAGAATAATCTAAGGTTGCAGATGTTGAGGAACACTGATGGTCAGCCAGCCTGTCAGGGAATAACTCCTTCTGTAGCCACGTCTTTCTGTAGCTCTTTCAGCAGCCACATTGCAAAGACACAAAGCTCTGTAAAGCAGCTGGAGGTGGGACCCTGGGCACAGATGTGAGGTGCCAATGAATTCCTAATTGTTAATATAAAGCTATAATGCTGCAATAAAAAAATATTGGAAGTGTTTGTACATAAATCATCTCCCCACTCTTTTGGTGGACTAATTTTGAATTTGTTCTTGGGATTACTGGCAGTTTCTTTGTATAACATTTAGCATAGTAGTGTACATGCCCCATTTTTTTAGCTATGGCCTGTTATCTTCACTGTTTTCTTCCCTTTAAATACCTAGCACTATAATCTAGCAATAGTTATCATTAAAGGAGCATTTTTATGCTTTGGTTTTGTTTCCTACCTATTTGGTAGATAATCAGCCAACGTTTCCACTTTTGATCCTATCTGTCTGACTAGGCTTGAAAAATAAAAGCTCCTTTCTGTTCATGAATAATGTGGTTAACTCATTGTTTCTCTTTTGCAGATGACAAAGGAAATCAGCGTTCCAGCCATTTGCCAAGAACCTTTCTTTTAATGCACCGGTGGTATCTGCCTTCCACAGAGCTGGCTGGCAAGCTTCTGTCCACATATCCTTTCACAAAGCCTTGCAAATCAACAATACAATGCATATAAAAATGACTACATATAAAATGTGTCAATTAATTAGTTACAAACAAGGTTTAGAGGTTATTTTTTTCAGCCTGAAAGGAAGTCTGTGAGCTGCTTTATGCTACTGCTTGTGGACTTTTTCCGTATGTACAAGCTAACTGAGGCATACTTAGAGTTAACTTTGAATTATATGTGGGCAAGAAAACTTTTCAAATGTATCGCAGTGGGCTGGCTTTTGGCTACTATGATCTTTCAGTGGTAGCTAAACACCTACATGTCATTTATACCTCTTGAAGAATTCAGTAATCGAAAGTATTATATTTGGTTAGCCAGAACTGGCAAGAAACCATTCAGCAGAATATTCAGAATAGTATAATACAGGCATTTTTGCTAGGGCAAAAACAAAAGTGGCAGCCAGGAAATGGTCTGTGTCCCCTAAGATGCTGTGAAAATGAATCAAATATCAGAGCATACTATGGTTATCTCTGGAATAAAAGTTGATACTGATTCAGCTGGTCTAGTATCAGAGTCTTCTGTGGATAAAAACAACGTTACTGACTCAAAGCACACAAAGCTTTCTTTAACTAACATACATATAGAGACGCCAATGGCGAGAACTCCAATGAATTCAGATTAAAAATCTGCTATTTCATGAGGTAAGGATGCTTCTGGTCCTCTAGCATTTTGATTTTATGCTTCTGTGCATACTATCAATGTAATTTCTTTTTTTTAAGATTAAAACTAAACCATGAAAATACAAAGCATTTTTTTTTCACTTGATCTCCAGTTCACAGTGAAGAGTAAATTTCATTGTTTTGAAAACAATTGTTTAAGTTAAGCCATCCAGCCTTTAAGACACTTGACTGCATTGAGCTAAAAAGGTGATTGAAAACTTGTGCTGTGATTTACCTGGTGACTGAGTATGAGACTAGTTCAGTGCCATACAAAGGAGAAACACATTTTGCTTCAAGATATTATCTACTGTGGTAGAGGAAGATTGTCTCTGGGCTGTCAACTTCAGTTCATGCAATCCCTAAATAATTTATGATGACAGGAGTGTGGTAGTGACGCCAAAGCTATTACAGGTCAGGTATATTGTGATCCTTGCACCAGCTGTTTCTGACCTTGTTTCTATGGAAAAGCTCCTATGTGTTAGGCTATGCTTATGTAGGAACGTTTCTCCATAAAAGAGAAAGCATGAATTTTTAAGTTAACATACAACCTGCTTCCCTCAAACAAATGTTTTTTTTCCTCCTTCCCCTGTACTAAGTTACATCAGTATGAAGAAAGGCAAGGGGGTTATTGAAAGCAGGACTGATAAAGCCTTCTCCATGCCCCCTTAAATAACAGAGGAAACATCTCATTTACATGGTTATCATGGTAGATCAAATTCACATTTTTATTTAAAAATCTGAGCAGACTAAGAGTCTCATTTGGACAAGGGATAAGTGCAAGTGTCATTTGGGCGTGTTGGCAGTGTGAGCCAGGACACGTGTGTATGTGTGTTTTGTGTGTGTCACTTGAGGCACCATTTTAATTTATCTTTTCAAAAGAATGCTGTTGTGTTTTGCTGTGGTGAGCTAACCAAAGGAAATTATATTAATAAAGTGGCTTTTGCCACTTCATTGTCACAGATAATCACAACAGCAACAAGTCAGGGTAGTCCACCCTCTCTGCCCAAAGACCAGTGGGTCTGAAATAAATTTTTTTTATTATTTTAAATAAAATGCATGTGCATATATGAATGTTACACACAAATCCCTGGGCATCTCTTAACTACTGTCTGTGGATTTCAGATACTGGATTTTGGAATTTCCTGCTGAATTTAACTTGGATCTTGGGCTGATTCGTTTGACTGAAGAGTTTCGAGAAGTAGCCAGCCAGCTTGGATATGAGAATCACATCCATCTCATTGATATCTCCAGCATGTAAGAATGTTATGAGCCTCAACATTTTTCTCTCTGTCTCTGTAACAAAAGAATTCTAGTTTTGTGCAAAATATAAAAATATTAAGGGCCACTTGATCTTGAGAGAGCAAAAGAGCAGTTACAAAAAGTCTTCTAAATTTGAAGTTACTAAAAATATGAAATTCTAGTCATAGTGTCACAGTAAAGAGAAGATTCTTATATTTATGTAAGTTTTTAATATAAACAGGAAAGGAATAGTTTTCCTGACAAAGCTAGTGCCAATTAAGTGATTAATATTACTTTTTTCCTATAATTTTTTATACAGAATGACAAGTAATACAGCGTCTGGCATATTGTGTAAATCTTGCATTTTGTTAGGGAAGATTTTTGTTCTCTCATCAGTAACCTGTTATTTTTTTCTAATGGCTTTCTGTGTACTTTTCTGTGATTTAACTGCATAATCTTTGGCATTTGTAGTTCTACTGCATCAAAATTATACACTGCTACGTCTTTGACATGCTGAAATGAAGGTTACCTTATAAACATCACCAAACAGGCTCTTGTATCTCACCTGATATTGTAGATTTTCTTCTAAAATATAGCATATGCGTAGTGGTTTTACCTTACCATAGTATCCTGGAAGGACAGCACTACTAATCTCCATGCAGATTGCAAGACTTCCTGCAAGAACACAAGTGAAATTACATGAATATTGTCTCTTAAATCTTCATTTTAAAATCTTGTTAGCAGCCTCTTTCTGCTCTCTACAGTGCTTTACTGTATATGGGTAGGAATTATTCCATTGCTTGCAAACAAATGATTTGCCTTTTTCTCCACCCACTTCTTACTGTTTTGTTAGCTCTTTGACTGACTCTTTCTGCTCTGCTGTTCTGTTATTTCATGGACCTATGGTCTTGCAAAGTAAAAATTAATCCTTGATGTTCTTCAAGTCTTTTTTTTTTCTATATCAGAATCTGATGTGACCTGTTCTTCTTGTATGTCCAAAGCATTTTAAAATTATGGGTTTCTGTATCATAGAAGAGAGTTTATCATGCTTTTCTTCTGGTAGAAACCTACTATTATTTATCATTTGCAGTAGCACCTCTAAAACTCATATCTTCTGTTATGTACCTGAACAGGCCTTACTCTGAGTGTTTGTTATGGCCTGGATGCCACAGATCAGAAAGCTCATAGTCTGCCTCTTGGTAATTTTATACTATTTGTTCAAACTGTGGGCTACACTCACACAGACCCAAGCAGAAATTAGAATTGTGCCTGGTTTTCTGTTGCAGTCCTTCCTATGACTGGATGAGAAGAGTTACACAGAGGAAGAGGATTTCCAAGAAAGGAAAAGCCTGCCTGCTGTTTGACCATCTGGAGCCCATTGAGCTAGCTGAACATCTGACTTTTCTGGAGCATAAATCTTTTAGGAGAATTTCTGTAAGAAGCCTACAACTTTATCACTTGCAATTATGAGCCTTAAAGAGCGTTTATATGGTTTAACATTTATGACTTTTTTTCTCTCAACTTTTCAGCGCAGTAAATCTTTATAATTCTTCAGATTATGTAGATAAGCATGACTGCACCAGCAGCTCTTTTCTGACTAATGATCTTTTTCTGACTAATACTTTTAGTGACAGAAGTTACTTTTGTGGAGAAATTCTAGGAAAAGTGTACATGAATAAGAGACAAAAATGGATGAAAATAAAAGGAGAAGCTAAAGCAAAACATAAGAGTAACCCAAATGCCAAAAGAAATGCTGATTTATGCAGGCAAATATCCATATGAAAAGGTCACATGATGCCACTGTATCTGGTGGCAAATGGAAGCAGGAAGTTCTCAAGATGACAAGTTCTCTTCAGAAACAAATTAGGCTTTTTTAAAAAATTATTATGAGCATGAAAGAAATAAAACTCCAAAACTAAGAAAAATATATTACTTTTTTGTTTGTTTCAAGAGAGGAAGGAAAAAGAGATCAATGAAGAGCTGAGACCAGTCTAAATAGAATCACTTTTGACGTCATTTAATAATGCTCAAGAGTTTATTACTCTAAACTTCAAATCATGGGAAAACACCCTACCATGATCTGTGCAATGCTGACCTCAAAGGAGGAGGGAGGGACACATGGATGTCTGACTAGACTTAAGATATATTTTCATTCCTTTGAGAATTCCAGAAAGAAAACTCAGACCTGCATGAATTTTCTTTTTTTCTTTGTTGTTTCTATTTTGTGTGTTAATTCTTTGGCTTGAATTTTGCTATCATCTCAGATGTTTTTCTGCAACCAGTTAGAGTTAATTAATCTTGTACTACTTGTTATCTCAAAGCTATATAATTGTAGACGATAATTAGTTTGAATCCTGTCTTTGGTTTTACCTATTTTTTAAAAAATATGGGGGAGAAGAAAGGGCAGTGTTAATTTTAACAGAAAACATTTTAAAGTATCTGAACTCTGAAATACTGTTTATCTGCGACTCTGAGACAAGCATCTGCTGTGTAAGAGTATATGCCATCGTATGGTTTTCTAGCAGGCAATTTTTGGTCACCTAAGACTAAGAAACCTGGGTTGGCTGGCATGGCTAGCGACTTCCTACACAAGTTAAAGTTACGTCATAAGCTTCTGAAAATCTGTCTTTAAGGGACAGCTGAAAAATTTTTTCTGAACATTTAGGAAAATCTAATTCTTGGGATCCGTAGCTCTCCCATGTCCATGAACACAGGGACTGAACAAAAAGGAACAAGATTTATCAGAAGTAGCTCCTTGTGCAACAGATTTTTTTTGACATAAGTGGAAGAAAATGGGTGCGTAGTCAGCTTCTTGGGATGCAGTTCAAGCTCCTGTGAAGAGTGACAGAGCTCCTGTTGATTGCAGTGGGACCAAGATTTTCCTCTTGGATGGAGTTGGTTGGGGTACTGAAATGGGATGAAAGCTCTTATTTATATGCTTCTTGCCTGAGACTGGATAATTTCTATAGATCAGCATGCCATAAGGATGTCAACTGAAACTACACAGTATGAAATGTTGCAAGTGTTGAGTAAATTATGGGAAATATAATGCCATGGAAGTAGTAATCATGCAGGCTCCTGTGTTACCTGACGCACAAACACAAAAGTTTTAAGCTGCCATTTAAGTTTTAAAAAAAAACAAACCAAAAAAACCTGAACAAAACAAAACAACAAACAACTTTTAACAAATAACTGATGTGCAGCAGGGTCTTCTGACCCTGACTCTTGGTCACTTTCTAAACGAAAGGAGCCTTAAAAAGAAAAAAATATCAAAGTTTCAATTTGATTGTTAAGTTGTCCACCATTTTACTGAAAATGCCTTTCCTCTGTTAGTTCACAGACTACCAAAGCTATGTGATCCATGGCTGCTTGGAGAACAATCCTACTTTGGAGAGATCTATTGCTTTATTTAATGGTATCTCCAAATGGGTCCAGCTCATGGTTCTCAGCAAACCAACACCTCAGCAAAGGGCAGAAGTAATCACAAAGTTTATCAATGTTGCACAGGTAAGTCTCGCATATGAGTTTTCTTCTTCCTGTATAAAGCAACAATATAAATAGAGATTGCAGTAAATAAGTGAACTGGATGCTCTTTGTGCTGTTTCCTCAGTGAACAGCCTGTTCAACATCACTGCAGGTTATTTGTTCAGGTGTGATACGTCTGCATTTTTTTACTAGCAGACATAATTAGAAAATAATTTTTCTATTTTGTATTCTAGTTGACAACTGACACTTTTCTTCTTCTGCAGAAGCTCCTTCACCTCCAGAACTTCAACACGTTGATGGCAGTTGTGGGAGGTCTAAGCCACAGCTCTATTTCTCGCCTGAAAGAAACTCATTGTCATCTATCTTCAGAAGTCACAAAGGTATGGTGGATTCCAGAATATAGACATGTGGAGCAGAACATCACCTTTTTGAGGCCTGATGGGTTCTGCAGTGCAGATGTCTCACCTGCACAATACTTGGATTGTGACGGGGCATCCTAAAAGGCATTTGGTTGCATTCCTCTTGATGGAGAAGTATCAGATCAGGGAGATCCTCTGCTGGATTACCTGTGCCAGAGAGGAAATTAACACTGCCGACACACTGACATGGGTTGTGTTCATTTAAAACGGATTAAGGAAATTCTATGAATGCTTTCTCAGAGACTTGCTTCTCTGGCTCTTTGTAGGACTGGAACGAAATGACAGAGCTGGTCTCTTCCAATGGAAACTACTGCAACTACCGCAAGGCTTTTGCTGACTCTGTTGGCTTCAAAATTCCTATTTTAGGAGTTCATTTGAAAGACTTGATTGCTGTCCATGTCATTTTTCCTGACTGGATAGATGAGAACAAAGTAAACATAGTGAAAATGCAGCAACTTTCCATCACCTTGAGCGAACTGGTTTCCCTGCAAACTGCCTCTCATCATTTAGAGCCTAACATGGATTTAATTAACCTGCTAACCGTAAGTATTCAGCAAGTTTCAATTCACTTCTGTTATTAAAATGTTGAATGTCAGTATCCACAGAGGTAGAATGGAGTATCTACAGTGGTAAGTGCACATTATTATCCAAGTTTTGTTAAAGAAAAGGGAAAGAATACAAAACAGAAACAAGTTCACATGAGGTGTGATAAATAAAGAGAGTTTCACTTCTGTAGTATGTGATGGGTAGAAGCAGAAACAGAATTGTTATAAATTTTTTTTAAGGATGACAGAAAGAGGGCTGTGTTTGTGTTAGGAGAAGTAAAAACTAAGTTCTGACTACTTAGAATTGAGGCTTATGTCTCCTGTGCAAAGATTGGGTGATGTGTAGACATGGACACAAGTGAAATTCCAATGTGGCCATCACTCTGTGCTTGGTCCCCTCTGCTTTGTGTGTGACACAGTACTTATCTAGTACATAAAAATGCTTTTGAATGGTGTTAAAGAGCCCTTGCAACTCCTGCTCTTTCCCCTCCCCTTACTCCTTGGCAGTGGCTACATTTGGGAAAGTGTAAAACTTGCACACACAAATTGCAGATAAAAGATATGAATGTCCCATTTCAAACCAAAGGAAAGTGAGATTTCAAAAAGATTGAATAAAACTTTTTTTTTTAAAAAAAGCTGCAACTGACAATGCTAGAAGGAGTTCATTTTCAGTCCCTTTTTTAATACGTAGGCAATGACTGTCATTCTAATAAACACTGCACTTTAATTCAAAACATAACTGAAGCGTGGAGCTTGAACCATCAGGCCAAATCCTGTTTCTATTGAAATTCAGTCATTTTAGCACTGATCTTAACTGCAGCAGTGTTTGACCCAACACCACAGTTTGTTCAGGTCACAGGCAAAAAACAGTGTCTGGCAATTAAAGCTAGAACCTGTGAAACTTGAAAAAAGACGTGTTGTTTGTTATAAACCAGTTGATGTTGCAAGCAAATAAAAACCACCTACTCACCTGAAAATAGTATGAAATATGTCACGTTGAGTAAAGGATTCTCTTAATATGTAATCATTTTATGCTGTTTCTGTTATTCTTGTTTAATTTTGTCTTTCAGATCACTAATCCAGACTGAAAGAGAATCTCTTTGTTCTTCTTAAATCAATAGAATTCTTTAAAAAATAAACTTAGAAGTAAGCAAAGTCTGTGTGTAACTAGGGCAGACTTCAGAATTTTTCCAGTGTTTATTTTGTTGGATAGCATGAGCTATTTACTCCTTGGGGAGGTGGGAACCAAATTCCAGCTTTTCCTCAGTCAGGTCACAGGCTCATTACCTAGCTCATTTTAGGTAAATAGCTTAACTGGAGGGCTGTTGGGCAGGAGCTTTGGATTTTTTCCTTTTATGCTTTACTTTAAAATGCTCAAAACAGTGCATATCTAGAAATTAAGCAGAGTTTACAGTTTGTGGTACAAACTACAGCCCTGATCAGGTACAGGAGTTTACACTGTGGAGGCTGACAAATACAAGCCTGAGTTAATTACAGAATCGCAGAATGTCTTGGGTTGGAAGGGACCTTAAAGATCATCCAGTTCCACCCTGCCTGCCACAGACAGGGACACCTCCCACCAGACCGGGCTGCTCAAAGCCCTGTCAAACCTGGCCTTGAATGCCTCCAGGGAGGGGGCATCCACAACTTCCCTGGGCAACCTGTGCCAGTGTCTCACCACCCTCGCAGTAAAGAATTGCTTACTAATATCTAATCTAAATCTACTCTCTTCTGGTTTAAAACCATTACCCTTTGTCCTATCACTACATTCCCTGATAAAGAGTCCCCATTTTTCTTGTAGGCCCCCTTTAATACTGGAAGGCTGCTATAAGGTCTCCCTGGAGCCTTCTCTTCTCCAGGCTGAACAACCCCAGCTCTCTCAGCCTGGGCTCATAGGACGGGTGCTCCAGCCCCTTGATCATCTTCATGGCCCTCCTCTGGACTCGCTCCAACAGGTTCGTGTCCTTCTTATGTTAGAGGCCTCAGAGCTGGATGCAGGACTCTAGACTGGGTCCCACGAGAGCAGAGTAGAGGGAGAGAATTGTCTCCTTTGCCCTGCTGGCCACGCTTCTTTTGGTGCAGCCCAGGATGCGGCTGGCCTTCCGGGCTGCAAGCGCATATTGCCAGCTCATGTTGAGTTTTTCATCGACCAACACCCCCAGGTCCTCCTTTTCAGGCCTGCTCTCAATCCATTCTCCACCCAGCCTGTATTTGTGCTTGGGATTGCCCTGACACATATGCAGGACCTTGTACTTGGCCTTGTTGAACTTCATGAGGTTGGCATGGGCACACCTCTCCAGCCTGTCAAGATGCCTCTGGGTGGCATCCTTTCCCTCCAGTTTGAAGCAACCAAGGTGGTATGGGTATATCTTTGGTTTCATTGTAATGAGGAATGGGAAAGTTTGAGGGAATAGGAAAACCTTCTCCTATTGCACTTGGTATGGCGCAATCTGGGAACAAGTCCCAGTTACAGTTAGTGGGGTAGGGAGGAGAAGGGACCGTGTATTGCTCACTGCAACACCCACCTAATTAAAATATTAGACTAAAGACAGGTATTTATTACCTTGTTTTGTTTTAGTAGGGATTGAGAGTTGCTTTCTTA